TAAAGTTAAATCTGATCAGAAGCCAGAAAACTTAATATCGTATAAATTAATAATTATCTCAGTGAATATTTGAGCTTTGTCTCATACATTTGTATTTTTTACAATCCAGATTAATAAATGTCTTCATCTTTCCAGTTGTTTGATTGATTGTTTGTATCAGAATATTAATGGATCTTTCATTAAAGTCATGAATTCAAAATCATCATCTGCAAAGACCAATAAAAAACCCACCTGGCGTCTTAACGTCGTCTGAGCAGGGAGGAGTCCGAGCACCAGCTCCGTGAGATGAAGCTGCAGCATGCCGAGTTTCAGCGCCGCCTCCTCCACCAGCTCCACCGGGAGCGCCAGAGGCTGCAGGAGCAGAGAGCATTCTGGGAGAAGCGGCTCGAGGAGGAGCGATCCGCTATCTGTGGCCGGTTTTCCTCGGAGAAGAAGAACCTGAAGGAGCAGCACGAGGAGGCGGCCCTTCAGCTGAGGGAGCAAGTGTTCTGTTTACAAGAAGCCGCACAGAGTGCCGACCTGCGAATCGGCCAATCAGAGGCCAGGTTGAAGGAGTTCAGAGAGCGCTGTGGTCAGTTAGAGGATGATGTTGATGCCTCTAGTGGGCGGTGCTCTGAGCTGGAGGCCAGGCTGGAGGAGGCCTGTGCTCAGCTGGAGGAGAGCATCACCTTCCTGGAGTCTCATGAGGTTGTAAGTAAACGTCTGGCGGCGGAGAAGAGCTCGATGGAGGAGGAGCTTCAGCAGGCGAGGACCAGAGAGGAGCAGCTCCTGGATCAGGTGACTCAGCTGAAAGAGGAGTTGGGAAACGTCCAGGCTGCTTCCGACAGCATCCTGCAGGACCGGGAGCTGGTAGCAGACAACTGCAGCCGCCTCTCCAACTCCTTCGTCCAGCTCCAGGCTCAGCTCCGAGCCCGAGACCAGACTGTCGCAACCTTAAGATCTGAGCTGGAGAACCTGCAGGACGCCATGACGACCAAAGCCGCTGAGCTGGACTCATTAAAGACAGACCGCGCCCGGCTGATCCAGGACCTGAAGGAGCAGGCGATGGCGGTGGACAACCTGCAGCTGCAGCTGGACGAAGTCTCAGAGGAGCTGGACCGGAGGAGGAGCTTCGACCAGCAGCTGCAGGGGGTTCTGAAGAAAGAACAGACCAGAACCTCGCTGCTCCAGTCAGGTCTGGACGAGGAGAAGGAGGAGGTCTGTCGTCTGAGCCAGGAGAACAGTGGCTACATCCGGCTGGCTGACCAGCTCTCCACGCAGATCGTAGAGATGGAAGAGGAGATCTCCACCCTCAGAGACCATCTCCGAGACCTCAGCTCCCAGCTCAACGAGACTGCAGACCTGGTCCTGGACCTCAGGAGGCAGCTCAACTCAAAAACCAGTGAGGTAGATCAGCTCCAGGCTGAGGTGGCAGACAGCGCTGGTCTCTTACGTCACGTCAAGTCATCGTCTGAGACGCAGAGCAGCAACGTTCAGCTGGAGGCCAAAGATGGAGAGCTGGACCGAGTACAGGTCCAGGGGCTGCTGCAGGCCCTGCAGGTCTCCCAGGACCAGCTGAGGACATCAGAGGAGGAGTTTGAGGAGGAGAAGAGGAAGATGAGGCAGCAGCTGATGGAGCTGGAGCAGCTGGTTCTGGCTCTGGAGGAGGTGACGGAGAATCCGCACAGGTTTGTGGAGCATGAGACCGAGTCACATTCAGAACGAGGTCTGGGTGACGACTAACCTCTGTCTGCTGACGACTAATCACATCCACCATCTGAGACTCTGGTCCTCAGGTAGACCTGAATGAAATCACCCACAATGCACTGCTGCAGGCTGAATCTGCGGTCTGATTGGCTCTGTGTGGAATGCTCTAACTCTTCACCTCATCTCTAACTGAAAGATCTAAACGCATGAGACCAAGTGAATCACATGTTTCTGTGTCCTCTTCACACTGAAGATGAGGAGGATTCATTGTTTTTGTAGAAAGTAGAAATTGAAGGTTTCGGTCTCTTTCAAACAAGTGAAAACAAAACGGGAAGAAAAGATGAAACATCTGAAAACAGAGTTTCAGTTTGTTCACTTTGTTTGAAACACACCGAGGCCTTCAGACACAGCGTCAGATTCATTTCAGTCAATTCAAACACATGATTTCATCATAGCAGAGAATGATTTTCCTCCCTGGGCGTCGCTACGTTCACTGAAGCAGCTGAATGTGAGACGCAGTGTGTTTCTGATTCATGTTGTGTTGGATGCAGGACTCAGCTGGAGGAGCTTCGATCGGAGAACGTCGCTCTGCAGGAGCGACTGAACGTCCTGCAGCCGGAAGTCCAGAACCTGGAGGACGACGTCGCCAAGAGGAGGTGAGAAAAAGTTCTGAGTTCATGTGAAACGTCGTCAAAACCGTGGATGAAGTGATGAAAATATAAAGATCACAGAAGGAACCAGTTTTAATCTTGAGGTTTTTATTCAGTGATAAACTTTTAAAACCAATCGACACACAATACGTTTTTTATAATGAGCAGTAGATTTTTCTATCTCGGTGGTTTTGACAGAAAATCTTAAAAACTTTGATTTAAAACAAACAAATTGGAATATTTTGTGGTTAAATCAGAAGAAATGAGCAGGATGATGAGAAATGAAACCAGGTGAAGTTTAGAAGCTCAGACTCAACTTCTGCTCCTTCTCCCGTCAGGAGGAAACTCGACGAGATGGAACGAGAACACGAGAGGAGCAGAGAGGAAGAAGAGAAGCTGCACAGAGAGGTGAGGCAGCTCCGTCCTGCCGTCGAGTAACATGATGAATCATAACAAACTCTGTGACGTCTGATCTCTGCAGAACTCTAAATATCGAGAGGAGGTTCTGGATCTGAGCAGCAGGAACCTGCAGCTGAGCAGCGACAACGCCGAGCTGAGCGCCCGTCTCCGTGGAGACCAGGAGTCCGTCCGGATGCTGGGGGAGCGTCTTACGACCGTCTCCAAGGAGAAGGAGGAGGAGGCAGCCATGGTGAGGGATGAGCGGCTGGTTTCAGATGTTTTCACATCTGTAAACATCTGTGTGGAAACACCAGGGGGGAACTGACGGACTCACCACAGACAGATGTTCACTAACTTTGATTTAAAGATGACATCATGTTTCAGGAAAGAATCTGGACGTTTAAAGTTTTGTGTTTAAAATCGTGTTTCACGTTTCAAACGTCGAGCGTGAATCAGAACAGAGAATCTCTCTGCGTGGCATTTAATTAAAACATGATAAACTAGACAAACAGTTCAACGCTGTCCGCACACTCAGCTGTTGTGTCTCCTCTCCTCTGATTGGCTAACGGTGGGATTCAGGTGCGACGGTTGCAGGAAGCAGCAACGCAGCAGGGGAGAGAGAACATTCAGCAGCAGACGTCCTGGACGCAAGAGCGACATCTGCTGGAGAAAGAGCTGAACTCCTGCAAGGACAAGGTGAGAGTGATGCTCGGACATGAACCTTCACGCCTGGGACGCAGCGACGTCCACGTCTCGAGGGTCAGATAACAAAAGTAGCGTCAGTAGCTTTGTTGCTGAGCTGTGTTGGCGTTTTATGTTTCAGTGATGACGTGTGGTTGAAGTTCACACTCAAACTAACTTCCTGTTTTCCCTCAGCTAGGTCGTCTGTCGGAGCTGGAGGCGGAGCTCAGCGCTGTGACTCTGAAGCTCCAGTGGTCAGAGGAGGACAAAGCCAAACTGCTGAGAGAGGCCGACGACCGCAACCACAAGGTCACAACCGACTCAACTCAACGAACCAATCACAGAGAGACGTCACTGTCTCACCGCCGCCTCTGCTCTCTCCTCAGGTGGAGAAGCTGCAGCAGTTGCTTCTCGCTCTGGAGTCGGAGGCTGAGCTGCTTCGCTCTCAGCTCCACGCCGTCAGCCGAGAGAAACTTGGTCACGCCCAGGAAGTAACTGACCTGCAGAGGGCGCTGGACGATGCTCGCAACAAGGTCAGAACTGAAAACAGGAAATGACATCAGATACTAAGTTTGATTTACTGACAGTTTCTCCTCTGTGCCCCCTGCTGGTCTTCAGGTGGAGGAGTTGGAGAGGAGCATCAGGAAGTTAGTGATGGAGAAGGACGAGCTGTGTCGGTCTCTGGAGGAGCAGGAGGAGCAGGCGTCCATCGCTCTGCAGGAGGAATCGCACAGACTGAGAGTCCAGAAGCAGGAGCTCCAACACAAGGTACCTCACCCCCGTCACCTGTGGTCATCTGACTCACATGTTGTCTCGTCTGTTAACGTGACTTGTGTTGTTCTCAGATGACGGAGCTGCAGCTCCAGAGTGTGGACGTTCACAAACTGACGGAGGAGCAGCAGAAGCTGAAGAACAAAGTGAGCGAGCTGGAGGTGGAGAGGACGCAGGCGGAGAACCAGGTGAGAACCTCACACTCTCATCATCATCATCATCATCTGAGCTTGGACTCATGACGTCGTCAGGTTAAACCTTGCTCTCCCCTCTACAGGCGTGGTGGGCGGACTCGGCCCTTAGTGTTGCGCAGGCGCAGCACACGCGGCAGCTGCAGGAGGTGCAGGAGCGAGCGGGCGGCGGCAGCATGGAGCAGCTGCAGGTGCAACTGCTGGAGGAGCAGAGGAGGAGTCAACAGTTGGAGGAGACGCTGAAGCTTCAGGCTCAGCAGAGCAGCTCTCAGATCAGCGTCAAGCAGGTAAACACCACAGCGCCCCCCTGAGGCTGCGGAGCGGCACAAAACAGAGTAGCAGCTTCTCCTGAGTCAAAGCTCAGTCTGAGATCTGTTAATGTTAGCAGGCTAACGCTAATCACAAACACACTGCTCAGGTGTCTCTGATTCAGGATCTGTTCTGAAACGTTGGTGTTGTGTTCAGGATCAGTACGAGAAGGCGGTGGCGTCGCTGGAGCGGAGGACGGAGGATCTAGAGCTGAAGCTGAAGGCCGTCCGCTCGGTTCTGCAGGAGAAAGTCCAGGAGCTCAAAGAGCAGGTCTGTCTTCAATCAGGTCCTCTTTTCAGTCCAGCTGTCCACATACTTTTGGCCTCACTCTGTAGTTTGTGTGTCGTCTGCAGATGGCGAAGAACGCCAAGTCGAGCGTGATGCTGAAGGATCTGTACGTGGAGAACTCTCAGCTGATGAAAGTGCTGCAGGTCACCGAGCAGCGGCAGAAGAAAGCAGAGAAGAACAACTTCCTGTTGAAGGAGAAGGTTGGCGCCCTCAACAGGCTGCTGAGAGAGATCGTCCCTGTGTCACTCGCCACGTAGCTCCCGCACAAACAACTGTGACCACGCAGCTTCAGGGACCAATCAGCAGCTGGTCTGAGATCAGTTCCAATAAAGCAGCCCCTGCACACGGGGGGGACGTTAGCCTAGCTTAGCACAAACACTGGAAGCAGGTGGAAACTGTTAGCACCAAGTCTGGAAGTAATGGAAAAGCTCAGTTGAAAAAAATCACTGTTGTAAGAAAAAAGTCACAATATTCAGAATTAATTTAAGATTCAAAAAC